ACAATTTCAACTACAGAGCATTTATACAGAGCGCACACACAGAAACAGAGAAGTCTAAAAACAGAATGTTACTCACACAATTCTAAAAGTCACCAGTTAGCACTCTGGTAATATTCTCCTCTGTACCCCTCTTCCGAATACCTCCCGTTTTGAGCCACAATTCCGCTTTCTTCTTTAGCTTGCTTGCAATGTTCGCTAATCGTTGGCGGGTAGTATGGTCGTCATTAGTAAAGCCATAAATAAATAAAATAAATGTTTTAGTTTCTAAATCTAAAAACAACAATAGCCTATTAGAACTTATTTAAACCACAGTTTCAATGATCTCAAGCTTATTTTCATTCGTTGTAGTATTTTGATCGTATGATTTATTATTTTAAGAACAATTATTTATTTTTTTTAAATATTTGTTATGTCAGATTTCTACGCGTACCACAGGTTGAGAACCACTGCTCTACATATTGTCTTTGCTTTTTTTGTTTTTGTCAAATTAAAATAATACGATCAATAATCGTGTCGACACTGAACTATTGCTTGCTGCTGATAACATTTCTCTCTCCTTATTTGCATGCCTTCAGGCAGTGGGTTGGACTGCACGCATCACATGGTCAACAAAACCCGAGGCATCATCACCCTGTACCGCCACCAAAGGGCAGCGTTTGCCATCACCAGTAAGAGGGGGCCGACCCCTAAAGCCCCAAAGACCCCCACAACGGAGCTTCCTCCTGGCAGCACCATCAGCTCTGATAATGATGAGGTACAGAAGAACACTTCCCCTAAATGTAGAAAAAGGATAAACGCATCCTGTTCCCTAAATGTATGTGTCTGTATGTTCCCTTTTTTAGAGCAAGAAGCCGTTACTCATTCAGAGACGAGGGGCGGAGTTCTCCCTGACAACTGTTGCCAGGCACTTTGGCTCAAACTTCACCAAGTCTCTGCCGTACCTATGGGAGAACACCGTAGGACCACTAAGGACAGCAGTGACTGAAAAACAACACATAGGTTTGTTAAGTTTTTATTTAGATAGGCATTGTATATAATGACAGTATAAAGTGTTTAAAATGTTACATTATATTATTCTATCCTACATGTACATGCTTTACTTGCACCATTTTATAACTTGCATTATTGATATTTTTTGTTGCTCTATTTTAAGGTCTTAAATATATTACGTGTTGCACTGCTGGCTCTCACTGAGACTTGAATGTTCATTGCCAACGTTTATGCTGTAGCTTTTGTGCCCATCACAATATAACCCTTGAGTGTCTTCAGTCTTTGAAAAATAATTAGCAACAGCTTTCTTTAAAAAAATGAAATGCGAAATTCAGTTGAATTGCTTAGTTTTCATTATTTAGAGCTTAGTGGCAACCTCAGGCAAAGTGAAGCCCTTGCATAAATGCAATAAACCTACAATCTCTGTCACTGCCATCTACTACTCAAAAATCTGATTGCAAAGAAGTCTATGACAAAAATTACCCTACTTTTCACTTGATTTAAGATCCAGTAATCTTTGTACGCATGTGTACTAAAGTATTTTGCAGTACAGCATGAGTAAATAAAGCCCTAGTAAATAATGGTAGGATCTTAGAGATGATAACCAAGCTTTTGAACAATGCCATGGTTCCAAGGTTGGATTATATACAGTGGGGCAAACAAGTATTTAGTCAGCCACCAATTGTGCAAGTTCTCCCACTTAAAAAGATGAGAGAGGCCTGCAATTTTCATCCTAGGTACACTTCAACTATGAGAGACAGAATCGGGGGAAAGAATCCAGGAAATCACATTGTAGGATTTTTTAATGAATTAATTGGTAAATTCCTCGGTAAAATAAGTATTTGGTCACCAACAAACAAACAAGATTTCTGACTCTCACAGACCTGGAACTAACTTCTGTCCTCCACTTGTTAACTGTATTAATGGCACCTGTTTGAACTCGTTATCAGTATAAAAGACACCTGTCCACAACCTCAAACAGTCACACTCCAAAACTCCACT